GTGTGTGTGTGTGTGTGTGTGTGTGTGTGTGTGTGTGTGTGTGTGTGAGTGAGAGAGAGAGAGAGAAGCCCACACAGGATCCATGCATACCATCTGTCATCGCAGAGGACAAAATCCCCCAAAGGGCTTGAGGAAAATTCAATACAGTAACTTTTTCTTCCTGCTGACCCCCGTCTTCTTACCTGGGACGTCTCAGGCTATGCAGCTCTCTGACCAAGTTGGGAAGGCTGTTGTGCCAATGATAACAGTAAGGAAGCTGGTAGCTGTCAAAGAGACATCGTGGTGCTATAATATATCCTGGCCTACAAACTGGTTTTGAAGTGCACAGCGCTCTAGAGAAGGCTTGGCGTGGATCCCAAAAAAATGTTAAATGATACTGAAACAATTTAGCTTCAGCTCACAATTTGTTTTCATATACAGGATGATGAATATGGATAGTAGACACAGTTTCAGGAATGGAAATAACAAAAGGAGTATTTCACAGTCCACAGCGGTATGTCTGTACCGTCACGCTGTAAACAAACGCATCTGTCCGTTGCCACGTCTCCTCATTGACAAGAAACGGCAGAACAGTTTACACGGTGGTGTGGATCTCCACAGATCTCTGCCAGCCGGTTAGTGTGGGGACACACCTACACACACACACACACACACAAGCATCCTATTTGTCCAACAGCCCTGCATGAATGTCAAACAACACTGTCTGTGCCAACCATTGCAATGTCTGTGCTGTGTAAACTTAAATCTTCTGGCCTTAAGATGTTCTCAAAGTCACACCCATGGAAAACAATAACACATTTACTTCAGTGAGCTGGTGCAGAACGTTGTTAGGTCTCTGCATACACAGACACCCCAACATATTTTCATCTCATCATTTGTTGAGAGAAGAGCTCCATTATTAAAACTCCACCAACTGTCTTGGTCCCGGCCTTCCCATAGGACTTGTCACCATTACTAGTAGCAACGGTACACGACTCAGTCGTAGATGCTAATGGTCCTCAGCCTGGATGAGTGTAACATGCATTTGTCATGTTAAGAAACTGGACATGTATACACAATTTTTCCCCACACGGTGCTGATGACCGGGAAGTGTGACTAAGCCGTGGCCGTGAAAAATGATTGTGAAAATATGCCCTTTGAACCGATGTCAAGTCGATTATTTTCGCCACTCATTTGGCCGGTAGACAAAGCGAGTGAGAGAGTGGACATTACTGGTACTGATGGGTGTTGATGACGGGGCCTCAATGTGTGCGAGACATGCTTGGTCTGTCCCAGGTTGGGATTGGGTGATGGGTGAGGGGTGAGTTCTGCAGTTCAAAATTTGACGTTGATTGGTGGGCCAGTAATGATAATGTGCATTGGGCTGTTTGACACCAACACCACCGTGTCAGTGTCTGCATGAGACACCTGTCCTGTGTTGATGGCAGAGAAACACCTGTGTCTCGTATCCAGCATGGGAAATATCCAGTACCGGCAACTTCGATCTATTTAATCCACATTTAACGTTCTCACATGCACCGTTTAAACTGCCCTGTTCACACTTATTTTGGGGGGCATTTTAAAGCTTTATTGTTAAGTCGACAGTAGTGACATAACAGGAAGTGAGGAACAAGCGCCCAAAACCCGTACTATTGTAAATGTAAATGCAATATTAGGCAATAGTACATTTCTCATACTATTTTGCACAAACATCTGCATTAAGTATTTACCAAATAGTCCATGAAGATACCAGAAGAACCGGTGATTAATTTGCTTACTTATAATATTTTAATCTCAGCAATCCAATTATAAATAGTAGAAGGAAATGCATATTAAAAGATAGGCCTCCTACTAGCTCACACAATAACTTGCTCATGATTCCCACAGATGTACATGCGACTTATTTCAGGAACACGGAGAGCTGTTATTAGATACAGTGAGGAACAACAAGAGAACTCTGCGGGGTTATTGTTTATTTCACACATATCTGTATGCAGGTCCCACTGCTGCCGCATGTTAAAACGGGGTCGCTGTAGTTGAGATTTTGTCTATTTTTCTGCTCCGGATTGGCACCGATTGACAGATAGTTGAGGAGAAAGACAGAGATCTCACTCCGATATAATCTCCATCCACCAGACATAAGGCAGAGACTGGAGGAGTCCAATGCAGCCGTGCATATTAGACCAAAATCTATTTAGGTCAACAGATAGATTGCTTTATTTTTTATTTATTACATACAGAAATGTGGTGCTTTGGACATCGTTGCAAAGACGTAATACTAGCTGCCACCAAATGAATGCAGTTCCTCTTTGAGTAAATCTCGAAATAAAACTACACTTAAAAAAGGAAGTGTAGGCTTAAATGTGTATTGAAAGATCTATTGGAAGAAAATAAGGTACCACGGCGACATATATCGAATCGGTCTTGAAAGTGGGCAAGGTTTTTTTGCTCAGGGATGCGTCATCCTCACGAAAGAAAGACGATCTTTGTCGCTGCTGTTTTTTTGACAGCGGCGGGGGAGCTGGTGAGGAGAGCGGAGGAGCCGTGTGGACCACAGCTTGCTGCTGCAGCGGCTGAGTGGGGAACGCACACACACTGGCCAGGCACGGTCATTCAAACACACACACACTCACACCTCATCATTTTCTACAGCATCATCATCACACACACACACTGCCGGGAGAGAAAACAGCAGCCGGTTTGCAGCAGACGGTGAGTTTAAATATGCCTCTTTTTCTTTTTTTAATAATTTTTTTTATTAAAGATGGAGATTGCATTTCCCCCCCGTTGTCTTCAGTATTAAACACATTGTAGCGATGTGGTAGCTTGAGGATAATGGTGCTGTGGATGTGTCAAGTCTGCGTTTTCATTTGCACGGTGCTGCTTGCTTGACGAGGATGCCCAGGTGCAAATAATATAGCAATATGGACGCCGATTGTCGTTTCAAAAAAAAATTTAATCTGGATTCTGCTGAGCATCAAAGGCAGCCTCGAAGCACTGCATGCACTGCATTTTGAAGAGGAGCCATCAAAGCAACTAGAGGGAGGCGATGGCAATGTGTTGATCGGCTGTTGTGCTGAGTGAATGTAAAGGGGGGGTTGTTGCAGCAGCAGGGTTTTGTGCTTATTGTTGCTGCTGCTGCCGCCGCCGGCCGGTGCATGCAGGCCCCACAGGTTGAGAGGATTATTTGATGTCTGCCAGTGATGCTGCCATATGTAGCTCAGCTCCTCTTGCTGTCAATCCGACGGTTTGGACTTCAAGGCAGGCACTGGTTCTTTGTTTGCAGGTATTCTATGTAGAGATGTTAACAGTCAGCAGGGGTCTGTTGATGATCAGTATATGGGGTGGGGGCAACAGCCTCCTATTCATTCATTGTTGATCAATGGTTTTTTTATGGATTCTTCAGTAAAAACTGAATTTGAGGGTTCCATGATGGAAGGTTATTTGTATGGTTTACCCTCCCAAAATATTGTTTAATATATATTTCTACATGGCTTCAAATGCAAAGGCACATGAAGGCAGAACGGAGTGGATGACACTTAAGATTGACTCTGCAGCTTGAGTTGACATTGGATTGGTTACAGTCAATCAAAGAAGAGGATTTCATCTTTTGGATTTGAAAACCCATTTGCTAAAGATTCCTAAGCCGAATCATCGGAACTTGCTGTCAGTATATTTGTGCTGAAAGGATTGTTCAGTAAATAATTTGAGTCAATTTTTAACGCTCTCTGGTTTTAGCATCTTAAATGTGATAGAAATATGAACAGTTTGACTATTTTCATACATTTTAGAGGCCTAGACAAAATGATTCTTCTATTATCAGTTGCTGACCATGTCATAGAAGCTGTATGCATGCTGTTATGAATGTGACATAGACAGGCTTATAATGTTTCCACATTGTGATTTAAAGAAGTAAAATGACATATGCAGTGTTGTCCTGTTGCTCAGTGGTAGAGAATTGCCAACAAACAGACTAGTGGTTTAATTCCCATTCCCATTTACTTCACCCTTGGCGGGTGTATTGCTGGGAACCCTATTTGAATTTGGCCACGCTACACGTACAAAATGAATAAACTTTGAATGAACAAGTACACAGCTGTGTAGCAGCAGGGGCGGAGCGTCTGGGCTCTTCAGTCCTGGGCTCTTCACCGACGACATCGTGACATGTCACGCAGGGAGACGCACAGGTGTAAACAATCAACTTAAACGATGGGTGAATTCCATTAAGACACTTGAGCCATCGTTAATATCATGAGGAACAGCTGTGCCTTTCCTACTATAACGAGTCAAAATGTCTGCTGTGAAAAAGACCTAATGTTCAAGCATACCTTATCAAATTAGACACGCCTCAAATGAATCTTTCCACATTAAAAATAAATATTATATTACGTGTCATTTATTTGAAATTACCTGAGCGTTAATCAATTAGTATGATGAGTGCATCTAATTTTGAAAATTAATCATATGATGCAACGTCGTATTGTGCGTTGGCACCACCAACCCCCCACCATGAGACATCACAAGTCATGACCTCGGTCTCCCGTGGACTTGTCAGTGCCAGCACTGAGCCATTACTCATGGCAGATGCAGCGTCATCGTCACTCTCCCGCTCTCCCATTTATCCACGGCCCATTAGACGCGAGTCAGGTGATGTAGCTTATGGTGGGCTCTCATCCTCATTCTGTCGCCTTAAGTGATGACATAATTTCCAGACGCGGGAGATACATAATGTTGTTTTTCTGGCTGTTTGCAGATTAGGGTTGAGGTCTAGTCATTGCACCCAGGTGAGATTGAAACTGTAGATGCGTCATATTAGAAAAATTGGACACCAAAGTAAATGTATGGCAAATGCTATTATATTTTGATTGAGTAGCTGTTTCCCCTTAAAATATTGCGATCTAAACAGCATTTTGTCTAGCGTGTATGTGTATATGATACATTGACATGTTATAAACTGTTCTTGACATTATTTTCTTTATTTATTAATTAATTAATGGTTTTGGTGATGCCTTCAAAATGCTTGTTTTGTCTAACCAATTCAGTTTACAATTATATAAAGCAGAGAGAAAAATGCAAATTCGCACATTTGAGTGTTTCTGCCATTAAAAAAAAACAAGACAAACGATTAGTCGAGTATGAAAGTAGTTCTGTTGAATGAATAATCAATTAATTGTCTTAGCTCTGTTATCCATAATTCTTTTTTTATTAATTGTTCACCGATGAAATATATTTTTGAAAAGTAGTGGAAAATGCCCATCACGAGTACTGAACACCCAACATGATGAACTTATGTTTCGTCTTGACCAAGAGTCCAAAACTAATAGATATTGAATATGCAGTGATAAATTAAAGTGTTAAACAAAAGAAATCCAATTTTGAGAACCGGGTACCAGCAAATATTTCATTTTTTTCTTGACTAATTGACTAATTATTCACCTTAAACAAAACATGTCAAAAAACTGCATATAGCATCACTATGAGCTGATATGGGTGGGAGTTTGGTTTTTGCCACACTATTCCTAATATACTGAGGAAATGCTGTGAGAAAATCGGTTTGCACATCTGACTTTCTGTGTTTATAACACTGCATATTATGCTGCAATTATGGTTTTGGTTATCAGCCCCTGCACTGCCACAGGCACTGCTGCTGCTACGAGGGAAACAATGCTTCTTTTTTAATTCATCCCTGGAGTTTGTTAAGCTCACTCCCAGCTAACGCCAATATAGTCTGCAGGTGCACATGATGAAGCCATCCTGGGTTTTTGTGTAGGTTTAGAGTCATAAACCCCTCGCTCGCGTCTCTGAGACTGCTGTGGAAGCTGCCGCCAAATGAATACAATTAGCATCATATTGTTCTGTATGCTTTGGGTTAATAGCATCAGCAGCCTGCGGCGATGATGGTGGGTTAGGGGGGCGGGAGGCACATAAACGCCCCCACACCCTTGGCTCACAGATGGACGTGTTTGGGTGGCTTTTTTTCATTAAGGGACCGGGACACATTAAATTAACATGACTGGCTGAGGATTGATGAATTGGAAGATGGGGGAAAGTTAAAGCCAGGTCTGGAGTGTGACACTTTGTTGCTGGTAGATTTCTGAGAGAGCAGATGTTGTTCTCTCTGCCTTCCATAAAGACAGATGGTTTTTTTGTTGTTGGTTTTTTTTGTTTGGGATGATGTTATTGCTTGGAGATGGGAGAGACCCAGTTTCTGCACAATGGACTATGAGGAGTTTTGCACCCAACTGTGTAAGACAGGCTTGATTTTAGCCTAAGGGTTTATAATGTCGGGAGAACACGTATATTTCTGCCAACGTGATTTTTAAACACGAAGCCAAAGCTGACAATTGGTGATCAATGAGTCGATCGTCAGAAAATGAATCTGCAACAACTCTGACAATCACTTTTCAAGCAAAAACTGCTTTGCTGCCTTTCTTGGTTGGATAAAACATGATTTTAAATATGTCACCCTGGGGCTCTGGGAAAGTGTGATGTCCATGTTTCACAATTTGTGATAGACAGTCTTATAGACGTAATAATCATCACAAATTAAACATTAATTGATCATGAAAATAATTGTGAGTTGCAACCAGGTTCCAACCTGACACTAAACACTGTATACAGTTTAATGTACCATGTTGTAAATCATCAATTGAGGTTTATAAACCAGGAGGGGAAAGGAGAGGAGGGATGAGAGTTGAGGGGGTAAAGGAGAGAAATTGAAAGATGGGAATAAAAGGAAAGAGTAGAGAAAAGGAAGTTAAGGAAAGGTTAGAAAGGGAATGGAAAGGACAGGGTGAGAGTAGACAAGAGGTGGGGAAGGAGAGGGGAGAAAGGAGAGAAAGAAAAGCACATAGGAAAAGGGTCGGACAAAAATGTAGGGAATGACTGAGGAAGAGGAGAAGAGCTCCGGTGAGGAGGAGTTAAGTAAAGAATTGAGAGGAGAGGAGAGGAGAGGAGCGACGTGCTGCTGTGATCACCAGCTGTGCCAGGCCGCATCTGAAGAAGAGCAAGAGACTGGAGATTAATAAAAGGAGACATAGCACGCCACTACCGTACTACACGCACACACACACACACACACACACACACACACTTTCTACCTTATGCATGATATACGCTTAAAAAGTCAATCATTTCAACATACATGTTTTTCGTGTCCTCTCAGTCTCTTTTGAATAGAGCGGATGAGTAGGTGCGAGTCTTGTTTCGACGGTGGAGTTGTTCATGTGGATCAGGTGGGCAACAGATTGGAGAGTGGGTGGGAGCAGAGGAGTTGCCAGACTGGTAGTAGCCGTCACTTGCCGAGTGTAAAAGCATATCGGCAATATCCGTCTGAACGGGTGATGTCATTTGATATACCGAGCCATATGCAGGCAAAGATGATTCTTTAGCATAACAGGTGATCCCAATCCTGTTTAATCCAGTTAAAAAGAAGATTAAACGGGACATTTGACGAGAGAAAAGACAATATATAAACAGATATCAAAGGTTTATGGTTCATATATTTACATATGTATCCTCCCTTTTTTTTTTTTTTAGCAAGCGTTAAGGGAAACAAAGGAGGAATGTTCAAATCCCAGTGGTGGGAGCTTAATCCATTGTACAGTAGGCTTAAAAACATTATTACCCCCCCCCCCCCCCCATCCACCAGAATCTTTGTCACAGCTGTAAAATGATTAGTGAGGATTTGGGTCAAAGAAGCCATTAAAGAA